CTCTCTCTCTCTCTCTCTCTCTCTCTCTCTCTCTCTCTCTCTCTCTCTCTCTCGTTCGCTCGCTCACGTGACATTGCTGAGACAACACCAACACAGATCAAGAATTCAAATCCTGGTGCATAAAATACCGTGCTGTGTGGCGTGCTCTCTCTCTCTCTCTCTCTCTCTCTCTCTCTCTCTCTCTCTCTCTCTCTCTCTCTCGTGTTCGCTCGCTCGCTCGCGCGCGCGCCATAGTCCGTGTCGTTTGATTCTTCAACGATCATCTAATTAGCATACAGGTAACGGTCCCGACCTTCCCGAACTTAATCCGTCGTCCCGATCGCAACAAATAGCAGTCAGATAGGACACTTATGTTATACATCAGACGACCATCGGAGTAGGGATACCGACAGCACAAAAGAGAGCAAGAGAGAGAGAGCTGGGTGGGGGAGAACGGGGGAGAGCGGGGGATATTAAAGAGACGGGAAGAAAAAACGGGCATTTCGATAAAACGAAAGAAAGAACAAGAAGAGAAGGATGAATGAGATGAGAGGGAAGAGTTGGAGGGTGAGGAAGACAGAACAACGACAAGAAAAAAGATGGACATTTCAAGACTGTCTCCTTTACAAAGAATAAGAAAGAGATGGACACGGGACGAAAGAGGGCAGCAGAGGGATAGGGAGAGAGAAAAAGATGCAGAAGGGAACGTATTGGAAAGGGGAGTGAAGGAAGAAGGAGAATAACGCTAAGGGAAAGGATCAACACAATTAGGAAAGAGGTAAATAGCGGGGGAAGAATATATTACAAGACGAAAAGAAGAGCAGCAGAACGGACAGAGAAAAAAATGAAAGACAAGAAAAAGAGTTCAGAAAAAGAAGAAAGAAATAAAAGAAAAAAAGAAAAAAAGGAGAAAAAAGAAGAAAAAATAAAGAAAAAAAAGAACCAAAAAAAGAACCAAAAAAAAGACCAAAAAAAAAAGAAGAAACTAATGAAAAGAAAAATAAAATAAAATAAGAAAAAAAAAAATCCTTCTCTAAAACCCAGGCAATGCAAACACAATCGAAGTTTAAGGTTCAATTCCAAAAAACAACACCAAGGGGCACAAGTAAAACTGCAGATCGCATGACAAAACGCCGTTGCCACAACAAAATAGCAAACCTGTACAAACACCGTTTCACACACACCTCAGCATCCATTTTTTATTTTAACTTACTCGTATACATACATACATACATACATACATGCATATATATTACGTAGTTTACGGACACATACATAGCGATTACATACCGCATTTTTTTCCCAACACACCGCAGCATGTACCTTTTTTTTTAACAATTATCCGTGTGCATACACATATATGATACACAATAAGCACGTATCTAGTTTTTTTAAGATATCCGTGTGCATACACATATATAATGTCACAAGAATATCAGAGCGCAAAAGCGAAAAAAAAGAGAAAAAGGAAGAAAGAAATAAAATAAAACAGGAAAAAAATGATTTCTTTTTTTTTTTTAATAATACACGTAAGCAACGTACCCTCGCCCGCTTTGGACTCGAAGACGGGAAGTTTCTCAATCATTTCCTTGCCATTTCCCTTGACGTCAACAATAAACAAAGAATGTGACACTCCTGCCGCCACTTTATGTACATGCATGCCTTCCAACGAGTCGATCTTCTTCGGTAATGCCGACGACTTGGGTCCATTTGCGCCATACCCTAGCTCTCCGTACTGGGCAGTTCCCCAGCTTATGCAAGAGGACTCAGCTGCCGCTAGGGTTGTCATAGATCCGCAATCCAAGCTGCGGATCGTCCATCCACTTATGGTCATTAGCGCTTTAGGGTACATGATACTATCGCCGGTCATTTTCACTCTGCCCCAGGTATACAGTTGTCCTCCCGCGGCAGACGCTGCCGAGAAAGCCCCTCCCGCCCCCACCACTCCATTGCTTGGCACTTTGTTCCCCCCCTTGAACACATCCAGCATCCTGGGCTTCCATTCGTCCTTCTGCTCCCTATGCCCTAATCTCCCATGCCCGCCAAAGCCCCACGTATACACAAACCCCTCAGAATCTACAACCACGCTATGATTGATTCCGCATGCCGCCTTTACTATCTTCTTGCCTTGAAGCGTCGAGATGGCACGTGGAAGCGGCTGTGGTTCGTATACCAACTTCACCGTTCCCGATGCGTTATTGTACTCGTGATCTGTCCCGTGCCCCAATTGCCCATACTGAGGCAGGCCAGCAGACAAGAGACTAACATCGGTCAGCCAGAGCGTGAATTCACCGCCGCATGCCACGTCGAATGCATCTTGCACGAGCGCCTTTACGGGGGAAACTTCCATCTCCCCCTTTATAGATCCCGTGCCCAGCTGGCCGTGCTTGTTCTGACCGAAGCTGTAAGACGAGCCATCGGAACCCACCACCACTGTGTGATGGCGGCCCGCGGCCGCCTTGATTACCTTGATCTTCGACGAGAGACCGGACACGTGGACAGGCACGTTGCGTTGGAGGGTGTCCCCGAGGCCCAGCTGCCCGGTGTCGTTCTTGCCCCAGGTGAAGCAGCGGCCGTCGACATCCACAGCCACACAATGAGAGGAGACACACCCAGCCGCCACGTGGACGATCTTGATTCCCTTCATGCTTGCCAGTCTCGAAGGTTCCAAAATGAACGGAAACTTCTCCGAACGATCGTCACTCCGGGAATCTCCCTTCTTCAACGCCCAATCCGCATTGCCACAGAAAAGTAGTTCTCCGCCCTGGACCTCCCCACCATCTTCCTCGCCCGCGTGCACCCCATTCCCCCCCCCCTCCTGACCCCCACTCTCTGCCATATCCAATCAACAACCCCGATCAGCACCTTCCTTCAATAATCGAACACCCAGCTCCCCCGCCAAATTAACCAACCCAGCAGAAAAACAAGCCACCTACCTACCTACCTACCTACCCACCTACTCTTTCTCCCTCTCCTCCAAGCCCCTCTTCTCCCTCCTCCTCCTCCTCTACTCCTCCTCTACTCCACCTCTTGCGACAGACAACGTTGATCGATACAGTCTCTCCCTCCCCCTTTGCCGGACTTGTCCAGTCCTCTCTCGACTGTAGTGCACAGCCTGCGCGAGAGAGAAAGAGACACAGACACAGAGAGAGAGAGAGAGGGACGGCAGTTGTCTGGGAGCACACGACAAACTGCGAGTTACATCGTGCAGGAACAAGAGACGGACACCATCAACGGTCAGAAAAGGACAGGAGTGTTACCATCAACGGCAGCAGGACAATCAGTGCAGAGATCGATGACGACGAAGACGAAGACGAAGATGAATGGAAGCACCGAAAGAGAAAGAGATACCGCCGCCGACGTTGGGAATGAACAAGTCGTCATCATCCGTACGGACGAGCGAAAGGCGGGCGGGCGGGCGGGCGGGCGGGCGGGCGGGCAGGCGGGCGGGCGGGCGGGAGGCACACATTTCCGCGTCGTCATTGCGAGCAGACAGAAGACAATTTTTTTCTCGTCGTACCTGGTACCTGGACGTATTGGTGCGCATAATGCATTCCCGACGAAAGTCCTGAAGTGAGTAGTGCCCCGGTTTGAGGACCGTTTGGGCGGGAGCTGGGCGCTCCCGAACAAGAATGTCTTCCCCGAGCCTCAGGCCCGGACTATTATGCCTTGCGTGCGTGGTGCGTGCATAACAGGCTGGGCGCATAACAGGCTTTTGGTCTCCTCACATACCCCCCCTACCAGAATTTCCGAGGAATCCGACCCAGCTTACGCTGGCCTTGGGGAGGGGGGGAGAGGGGGGGGAAGGGGTTTCCAAATCCAAAGTATTTGGACCATTTCTCGATTTATGCTTGTCATCCTTGCGCTGGCTGGTTTTCGGTGGGCAACAGTCGAGTCGAGTAGTAGTCGTAGCGGTAGGTAGTCTTTAGCACCATGTTCCCCCGAACACAACGCACCGTCATTTTGACTGTATCTGGCCGGAAAGATCCCTTCTATGCGTTCTTTTTCAGGTTGCGTCATGTTCGGGGAAGACGGGAGTAGTAGCGCCAACGCTGACGCGCTCGCGGGCCGGGGACGTAGCGCGCGGCATCCGCCGGTTTGTTGTGTTGCCATTTTCCAACTTTCGCGCGCTTTCGCGCGCTCCTGCGTCGGCAGCTTAGCGCCTTGGCGCCTGCAAACAACAACTCTTATATTTCTTTCCTTTCAATTCTTTTCAATCTTTTCAACTTTTCAAACTTTTTTTTTTTTTTTTTTTTTTCAACTTTTTCAACTTTTCAATCTTGACGTGTGCGTTTGGGGATGCGTTGGGATGAAAGAATGACCCCCGGGGCCGAGGTCCCACGAGCAAAAAGGATAGGATCAAGCTCCTGAATCTGGATGTGTTCAATCTCGATTTCCTGCACATCTCCATAAACTCGTCCAGACTACCTGCACATCTCCATAAACTCGTCCAGATTCTGGCATTCGATCCCATCCTCTTTGCTATTGGGAACACGCCCCAGGGGGTGGGGGGGGGAGGGGAAACGGCCACTACGGTAGCTCTCCTGAGGGCATATTATTCGGATATTCGGGCCCTCGCTCTGTACCGAGTGCACAACGTTACAAGCCTCCGACATATGACGAGGGTTGGAGTGATGCCCTCACTATCCGTCCCGTCTTGCCCCGAACATAGCGCCCCCTGATAATGAATGTACACAAGCTATATTTCCGGTCAGGTGCGTTGCGTTCGGGTGAAGACGGGTAGGGCTCCTTCGACCGAACCGAATAATAATGGCGGTCATTGTTGTCGGAGACATCTTGGCAAGGGGACAAAAAAAGGAACTGCCCTGAGTCTGGGGCTCTTTTGGAAATAGCATTCAATGCAACCAAATCATACCCCCCTTTCCCTATCTCCTGCACCTTTTCTGGATTTTTTTTTTTTTCTCTTTTTTTTATTTATTTTCTCTTTTTTTT